AAGATTTGTCTCCACCTACTGGCTGTTTTAGTTTAATATTTAAAGTAGAATTTCAGTCAAATGTTATGTTTAAATATTAAAAATTTTATTTTTAGAATTATTTATGTAATACAAAATGTGTTTGTGGGTCAAAGTGACTCAAAAGATGGAGTTGGTCATGTTCACAAAGTCACTCATGAATAGCATCCTAATTTCCTGCCGAAATGATGCTGCTTCAATCCATGTCAGGGAATCGGCAGAGAAAAAGGCAGTCATTTGATCTGTCACTGCTCAGCCAGTTTTAATTGGTGAGTGTGACAGACCTCGATATTTCAGCAGCAATAGTCAGTGGCAGTTGTTTAGAATTAAGTTGTGTTACACCACATACTTCTGCATACTCACAGTTCTGATTTATAATTACTAAGTATGTAGTTGTGCAATATTCTGCAATATTAATACATTGTGTTATGAATTCCCATTTCCCATTAACGAATTGGTGGTATGCTCCTCAGGCTTTGCCGTCTTCATCAGCCGTCGGCAGTACTGGAGGTTTGACCCAGCTCAGCGTAAGGTTTTGGAAGGTTACCCACGCTACGTTGGTGCAGATTTCTTTGGATGTAGCATGCCATAAACCCTCAGGAAACTTTTCTGTCTCTTACAACAAGTTCTCACACTCTGGTCTAAAGCATAGTGTAAATTTCCCTACTTTATCATGATGAGGAACTGTACTATATAAAATAAGTTCTTGTTCCCGGGCATTTCACTTCCCTTCACCTCAAAAATGTCTGATTAATCTAATTTCTTCTCAGGAAATCTTGCACATCTGAGCTTTATGAACCACGAGCAGCTATGTCTGTATTTGTTATACAACCACTGTGTAAGGAGACATTTAAATGACCTGTTTGTTAAGGTGCTAAACAAGGTGCTAAAACATTCGTCAGGGATCTTTGCACTAGTTGCAATGTCCATAACTATCGAAGTTTTTTATGATTGGCTACAAGTTGTACTGTAACTTAAACTGTGCAGTTTGTATTATTAATAGAGAATAGGTCTCTCGTTCAAAAAAAAAACTTCTTTATTTTGCACAGGGGAAGGATTTTTTCTTTCTTTTTAAGATCACACAAACTCTTGACACATGAGCATTTGTTTATGAGACTGTATGAATAGACAAACTGGCACTCTTCAGTGCAGGACACTGACAATGTTTTAAATCTTTTTTTTTTAAAATATACTACAATAGATCAGCTTGGCATTTCTTAAGATCACATGTGTACAATCTTTTCTCTAGTTTTTGTAGTTCTTGCACTGTTTTCTTTTCATATTTACTGTGTAAATACTTTACATGATGAGTAAACAATAACAATTTTCATTTTTGGGTTTTGTTTATTTGTAGTGATGAATTCAGTCTTTAGTCTTATTCAGTCTTCTTTAACTCTGTCTATAGCTATTTGGTCTATTTGCCAACCTGTTCTTTTTAGGACAGGCTTTCACTATCATGCTGGTTTATATCTGGAGTAGAAGGAACCCTTATGTCCGCATGAACTTCTTTGGCCTGCTCAACTTCCAGGCCCCATTCCTTCCCTGGGTGCTCATGGGATTCTCACTGTTACTGGGCAACTCCATTGTTATTGATCTCCTGGGTATGTTAACTTTTGTCCTGAAATGCTTGTGACAAAAGAGCTGACTTTTGATATGATTTTGCATAAACACTGAAATAAATGAACTTTTCCACGACTTTCTAATTTGAGATGCACCTGTATGTATATAGTATATATATATATATATTTGTGTATAAATAGGGATTGGTGTAGGACACATCTACTACTTCCTGGAGGATGTATTTCCTAACCAGCCCGGAGGCAGAAAGCTTCTTACCACTCCTGGAATTTTGTGAGTTTGACTATAAATATTTGAAATATTATAATATTTTTCTTTTTTATCATTTGTTTGCCTTCAACACGGAAAACGAAATCAGAAATATTCATTAATGTTTTGCAGTCGAGTTTTGTTTGACATGCCTCAAGAAGATCCGAATTATGCCCCTCTTCCAGAAGACCAGAGTGGGATATCCCGGAATGGACAAGGTGTAGAAGATAACGGCCAAGGTCAAAATGATGAAGATCTTCAAAGAGAAGAAAACTGAAGGTTTCAATACCACAAAGACAGCAATAAATCTTGTCATGCTTTTAAAGTCCTCCTTGCTTTAGTTGGGGAAGTTTATGTCTGCATGTCAATTTTTGTAAGTTAGACTGTGTAATAGAAGACACTTTGTTAAAGAGGCGATGCTTTAGCACACGGTCCACTGTGGATCCAGGAAACCTGGAGACTATGGCCACCTTAGTGCCTTTGTGTACAAAATAAATGGATCCAAATTTAGCATTTAGTGCCATGCATGTCACAAACAAGTTTTCCTTTGTTATTTTTGTTCTGGAAGAACAATGCCTTTCTGTTTTACTTCTCCCTACAGGGTTTGAAACAATTGCCATTTTCTCGAAGACTTCTATTTAATGAATTTTACAAAGCAGTGGTGGATGGAAGGATTGGAGTTGAAAGAGAAGCCATTCAATCTCCCAAACTATAATCCATCATTTTGGAGGGGGTGCGAACTCCACAAGAGGGCATTTTCTTGGGTACAATACAGTGGCATATCTCTTTTCCCACAACACAGTCAGCGGTGAGGCAATTGGACACATTCACAAATGTGCCGACTATCTGAAATGCCAAATTGAACTGCAGACTATGCATTTTCAAGCCTGTGGCCTTTTGTTAGCACAGCACCATTGCGAAAACACAAAAAGCTTTATGCAGTGAAACTAAAAGATGGATTGTCTGGAAAAATGTGCTCCACAAAAAGATCAAATTAACTTAAAACCACAGATATATGTACATGTGTTGTGTTTTTCTCTAAATATGAATACAAATACATTTGTTTGTCTGAAGGCTGATGAGTTAAGTTTTCTGTTGTATTATATTTACAATTTGATTGATTGTTCAATATTTCTGCTTTACAAATAAAAATAGGTCTTATATTTTTATACCCAAATCCATAGCACTCAAGTGACCAGTTTGCTAGTTCAGAACACAATACTGAGTCTCTTATTTTTTAAGACACTTGTCCCACTTGCCCCGTTGGGACTGTCCTTGCAAGTTTATTGCAAGCTTTTGGGAATGAAAAGCATTCCAAAAAAAGAGTCGGTCTTAATTTTATTTAAAAGCACATTATGTTTACAAAATGGCATCTATACACAAACACAAAACAAGACAAATAAAGATACCATAAAATATTCTCAATTTCAAGACAGAGACGGTCTGTCTCCAAGATGACAGATACTGGGTATCTCATAGTCAGTAACTCTGATCTGGAGGGACTGGATCTGGACTGCCCAGTGGAATGTCTCTATGATTTTATGTCAGTAATGCCGGGTTGTACCTCTATTGCTATTTCCTCTTCAGATTTACATAGTTGTGGAAGGGGGCTGTTATTTTCACCATGCTGGTGCCGTGTTTGCAAGTCGTCTCATTCGCCTGAAACAGAAAAAGTTTGATATGAGGACTGAAACAGTCACAATATCTCCCAAATATTCAAATGAAAATCTGTACAAAGAAGTATTATTGGTCTTAGTGAAACAATAGTTTGTCATTGACATATGGCTTGCCTCTCTAGTTGGTGCACACCTGCTATGGGGCAAAACACTATCTTAAGTGAGGCAGTTAATTCTCTTACCTTGTGTTTCTGTCCTGGTCCCTGATCTTCTTCTCCATCTCAGCATCTGTCAGTGTCTCCAGCAGCGGACACCACTGGTCAGCATCACCTGTGTTTCGGATGGCAATCTCCACTGTGGGGAGAGGGTTCTCACTACAAAAAGACAAAACACATCATTTTAGACCCAGTTCAGAGACCAATTGTTCTTTTGAGTCAGATCTTTACTAGTAGGTTCACAAACCAAACAAAAATTTCTCTGTACCCATATGGAGACTATACTTTTCTGTGTTTTATCAACATACAGCAACACACAAACACTTCACTTTTTACTACATTTTATCTTAAGCAGTGAAAAACTTTAAAAGAATTAATGCTTGGCTAGGATTGTGATAAAGTGTTCCTTAATAAAGGATTTGTGTGTGTACAAGTCTGAACCTGAAGGCGTAGGTCCTCTGATGCCAGCTGAGCTGACCGCGTATGCTGTATGCAATAGTGGTGACAAACTCTCCTCCCAGGCCCAGCTCAGAGCACAGCTTCAGAGCAAACGTCTCAGGAGAGTTCTCCTTCTCAGACATGTCCCATTCAAACTGGTCCACCAGAGAAATGTTCCCAACATGGATGTTTAACTACAGAGATAGAGAGAGAGAAATCAACAACAATCAAAAACCATGATAATCTATCTTTATTCAACTGAATAATAACAACATGATAATACTGTATATACGCTACCATTCAATACATTATGAGATTTATTAAAAATGTATACTTTTTTTTTTTGCAAGGACACATTAAATTGATCAAGTAGGCTCAGTAAAGCCATTTCAAATGCTGTTCTTTTGAACTTTATTAAACCAAAGAATCCTGAAAAAACTGCATCACGGTTTTCACAAAAATATTAAGCAGCATAACTGTTTTCAGCATTGATTACAATAAAAATGTTTCTTGAACACTAAATCAGCATATTAGAGTGACTGAAAGATCAGGAATAAATTGCATCTTAAAATGTAACATTTTAGAATATACGATAGAATAATAATTTGCAGTATTACAGTTCTTACTGTAATTTTGAGCAAATAAATACAGCTTTGGTGAGCATAAGAGACATAAAAAAACACTGATATTATGAATATAGCAAGCTTTTTTAAAAACAAATGTTCAGCCTTGTGTTGCCATGCATACTACCAGATGGTCAAAATAATTGAGTAATGAGATATGATGTTTAAAAATGGGATTACTGAAATTAAGGTGACTTGACAGAATGACGTATGTACCTTAATGATGACTCTCTGGTCCATCTGCTCATCCAGTATGCTGTCTGTGGAGTAGGACTCTATCTGCTGTCTGATGGCCGAGGCAATGGCTGGAACAAAGGTCAGTGGGCTCAGATCCAGATCGTCGCAAAGGATTTCAGCAAACATCTCCGGAGTCATTAGCTTCTCTATTGGGTCAAGGAAAATATTAGAGTTCAGGCACTTGTGTAATGCGGAATAAAAAAACATTCAAAAATAACTTCAATGAATGCTCCTCAGGACGTATGTAACGGAGTCTACCATTCATGTTCCATGTGAAAGCATCACGCAGCTTCTGCCCGTCAATCTCCATGTCCAGACGGATGGGCACCAGGATCTCAGGCTGAGTGGCGTTCTCATGAATGACTGCAGGGTCATGATCATCAAAGCTGTAATAGCACAAATCCAGGGGACAAACACAGTAAGACAATGAAACTAATGATATTATAAACAGGGGTAGGACAAAAGAAAGTGATATAATTTTTGTAGGCTACAGTAAAAACATTCCAATTATCTTGTATCTTTTTTGTTGTTTATATTCTGCAAGTTTTATATCAGTGTAGAATAAGTTTTAATTAACTAAAAATCTCAATATTCACCTTGAATACCCTGTTTCTGCAAAAATCACACACAGAGAGCTCCACAAATAAATCCAACATCCATGAAAGAGCTGCAATTGCTACAACTTTAATCACAAAATGCAATAATTATGGTGTCATGATCAAGAAACCTGAACAGTTGGAGCATCAAAACGAACTTCAACATCTGCCCTGGCCAGACAAATCCCCTGACTTGAATACTGGAATACCAATTCACTGAGGGCAGTTTTCGGAGAGAAGAGCGAGAAGCAGATTCCCTTCTCCAAAATATCTCAGACAACTGGCAGATGTTTTGACAGACAACATTCAACTGAAGACTATTCAAAAGTTGGATGAATATATTCTAAGAAAGCTGGAAGCTGTATTGAAGTCAAATGGTGGTAAAACATCTTAATAAATAAACACTGCTCCCAGGTGTTCACATTACTTTGTCCAACCCCTGTATATGTATGTGTATATATATATA